GAAACCAGGGTCCTTAGTTCCCCTGCCTGTCCATACTGGGCCGTCCATACTGTCAGTCTGCAGCCAGAACCCCCACCCTCTTAGGCTCCACTGAGTGCCCCTGACAGGACCGGACACCTGTCAGTCAGCACATAGAACCCCACCTTGTTAGTTCCCCAGCATGCCCCTGAGAGGACAGTGATCTCGTCAGTCTGTGGCCAGAACCCCACATCCTCAGCTCCCCTGCCTGCCCCTGATGGGACCAGGAAACCTCAGTCTGTTCAGAACTCCACCCCCTTAGCTCCCCTGCCTATCCATTCACGACCAGGAACCGGTCAGTCTGCCACCATAACCCCACCCCCTTAAGCTCCACTGAGTACCCCTGACTGGACAGGGAACCTGTCAGTCTGCAGCCAGAACCCCACACCCTTCGCTCCCTCGCGGGTCCACTGACTGAACCAGAAATCTGTCAGTTTGCTATCAAAACCCAGCCCCTTAGCTCTCCTGACGCCCCTAACGGCACCCGGAACCTGCCAGTCTCCCGCCAGAACCCCACCTCCTGGGCTCCCCTGCCCGCCCCTGACTGGCACAGGAACCTGTCAGTCTGCCGCCAGAACTGCACCTGCTTAGCTCCCCTGCCTGCCCCCGATGAGAATGGGAACCTGTTGGTCTGCGGCCAGAAACCCACCTCTTGGTTCCCTGCCTGCCCCTGACTGGACAGGGGAACTGTCGGTCTGCAGCCCAAACCCCACACCATGAGCTCCCTCGCCTGCCCATGACAGGACCAGGAACCTGTCAGACTGTGACCAGAACCACACCTCCTTAGGCTCCCCTGCCTGCCCCTGACTGGACCAGGAACCTGTCAGTCTGCAGCCAAAGCCCCACCCAGCTTGGCTCCACTGAGTGCTCTTGACAGGACCGGGAACCTGTCAGTCTGTGGCCAGAACCCCACGTCCTTAGCTGCCCGCCCGCCTTTGATAGACCTGGAACCTGTAGTCTGCAGAAAGAACCTCACCACCGTGCCTCCCTGTCCTACTCCACACGCACATGGAACCTGTAAGTCTGCCGCCAGAACCCCACATCCTTAGCTCCTTTGGCTGCCCCTGATGGGACCAGGAGCCTGTCAGTCTGCATGCAGACTTCATGTCCTTAGCTCCCCTTATTGCCCCTGACTGGACCAGGAACCTGTCAGTGTGCAGCCAAACCCCACATCCTTAGCTCCACTGCCTACCCCTGTTGGAAATGGAACCCGTGAGTCTGTGGCCAGAACCCCACCCACTTTGGCTCCCCTGCCTGCCCTTGACGGGACTGGGAACCTGTCAGTTGCGGCCAGAACCCCATGTCCTTAGCTGCCCTTCCTGCCCCTGACTGGACCGGGAACCTGTCAGTGTGCAGCCAGAACCCCACATCCTTAGCTCCACTGCCTGCCTCTGTTGGACCCAGTACCTGTAAGTCTGCGGCTAGAAGCCCAGCTCCTGGGCTCATTTCCCGCCCCAGATGGACCCGGAATGTGTCAGTCTGCCACTAGAACCCTAACTTCTTTGCTCCCCTGACTTGCCCCTAACTGGAGCAGGAACCTGTCAGTCTGCAGCCAGAACCCCACCCTCTAGTCTCTGCTGAGTGCTCCTGACAGGACCGGGCACCAGTCAGTCTGCGGCCAAAACTCCACCCCCTTAGCTCCCTTGCCTGACCATACTGGACCAGGAATCTGTCAGTCTGTGGCCAGAACCACACGTAGCTAACTCCCCTTCCTGGCGTCACTGGACCGAAACGTGTCACTCTGAGGCCAGAACCACCCTCCTTGGCTCCCCTGACTGCCACTGATGGGACCGGGAACCCATCAGTCTGCAGCCAGAACCCCAACCTTGAGGCTCCAGTGAGTCCCCCTGATGGGACTGGGATCCTTTCAGTCTGCGGACAGAACTCCACCCCTTAGCTCCCAGGCCTGCCCCTGACTAGACCAGGAACCTGTCAGTCTGTGGCCAGAACCCCACCTCCTTGGCTCCTCTGACTGTCCCTGACTGGACTGGGAACCTGTCAGTCTGTGGCCAGAACCCCACCTCCTTGGCTCCTCTGACTGTCCCTGACTGGACCAGGAACCTGGCAGTCTGTGGCCAGAACTCCACTCCTTAGCTCCCCTGCCTGCCCCTGACTGGACCTGGAATCTGTCAGTCAGTCTGCGGAAGGAACCCCATGTCCTTAGCTCCCTGCCTACTCCTGATGGGACCAGAGACCTGTCGTCATTCTGTGGCCAGAACCCCACCTCCGTAGGCTACGCTGCCCGCCCCTGACTGGACCAGGAACTGGTGAGTCTGCAGCCAGAACCCCACCCCATCAGCACCCCTCCCTACCCTTGATGGACCTGCAACTGTCACCAGTGGCCAGAACCCCGCTTCCTTAGGCTCCCCTGGCCTACCTGTGACGGGACTCGGAACCTGTCAGTCTCGACCAGAGCCTAACCTGCGTGGCTCCCCTGACTTTCCCTGAGGGGGCCAGGAACCTGTCACTCTGTAGCCAGAACCCCACCTCATTGGGCTGCCCTGACAGCAACGGGAACCTGTCAGCCTGTGGCCAGATCCCCATGTCCTCAGCTCCCCTGCCTGCCCCTGATAGACCTGAACCTGTCAGTCTGTGGCCAGAACCAACCTCCTTGGCTCCCCTGACTGCCCGCGATGGGACCAGGAACCTGTCATGCTGCTGCCAGAACCTTAGCCAGAACGCCTTAGCTTCCCTGCCTGGCCATATGGACCGGGAACCTGTCCATGTGCGGCCAGAACCCCACATGCTTAGCTCCCCGGCTTGTCCCTGACTAGACAGGGAACTGGTATGTCTGTGGCAGGAACACCATCCTCTTACACTACCCTGCCTGCCCCTGACTGGAACCAGAGCCTGTCATTCTGCGGCCAGAACCCCACCTCCTTGGCTCCCCTGACTGCCTCTTTCTGGCCTGAGAACCGGACAGTCTCGGACTACAACCCCACCTCTTGGATCCCCTGCCGGCCCTTGATGGAACTGGGAACCTGTCAGTCTGGGGCCAGAACCCCACCTCCTTGTCTCCCCTGCCTGCCGCTGATGGGACTGGTAGCTTGCCAGTCTAGGGCCAGAAACGCCGTCTTTGGCTCCCCTGCCTGCCCCTGACAGGACCGGGAACCTGTCAGTCTGCGGCAGGAACCCCAAGTCCTTAGCTCTCCTGCCTGCCCCTGACTGACCCAGAACCTGTCACTCTGCGACAGTTCCTGATCCAGTCAGGGGCACTCAGTGGATCCTAAGGGAGTGGTTTCTCCACCATATCTGAATGTGAAAGTCCAGCTGGGTGCAGAAACTAGGGAAGAACAGACAGTGCACACATCTGGTCAGATGGCAAGTGTGTGACATTCAAGATGGTTTACAAAGTGGCCCACAACAGGTGATCTCTCCCTACCTCTTCATGTAGCGTGCCTTCAGACACTAACCCCTGGCTCACAACTTGAAGTCTATAAAGGACGGAGACCCTCAGCTATCACTGAGTGGCTCAGAGGACACTGCATGGCTTGTGCTCAATCACTTGTGTCCCTGTTCAAAGCACAGTTTATGAAAATAATCATACAAGCCGGCGCCGCGGCTCACCAGGCTAATCCTCCACCTGCGGACGCCAGCACACCGGGTTTTAGTCCCGGTCAGGGCACCGGATTCTGTCCCGGTTGCCCCTCTTCCAGGCCAGCTCTCTGCTGTGGCCCGGGAGTGCAGTGGAGGATGGCCCAAGTGCCTGGGCCCTGCACCCCATGGGAGACCAGGAGAAGTACCTGGCCCCTGCCATCGGATCAGCGCGGTGCGCCGGCCGCGGCGGCCATTGGAGGGTGAACCAACGGCAAAGGAAGACCTTTCTCTCTGTCTCTCTGTCTCTCACTGTCCACTCCTGCCTGTCAAAAAAAAAAAAAAAAGAGGCTATCAGCAAAAACCAAGACTCGTTCAAGGTGGTGAAGACCGCGCGTACGTTTCGGGAGTCTTATTTCAAGTTTTAATTCTTCTGCCAACACACTCATGGTAATCCCAGGCTAGTTGCTCTCGTTTCTGAATCGACGTGTCACCCACTGCGCCTCCCTCGTCTGGGCACTTCATCACTCACTCACTGAAGTTGCTGTTCAGAGTGTCCGCTGTGTCCTGTTCTCTCCTGCTCTAAAGTCACTGAGGAGACAGTACTGACGACGAAGCTGCAAACCCTTTCAAGAAGCAACGTGTCTATACACGACCATGTTTTCAAGGCATTTCCGATGGATCTGACTGCCTGTCAAAAAAAAAATTAAAAAAATAACTGAGATATTGGGGGTCTTGGTATTAGAAGATGAGCAAACTTCGTAGTTATGAATCTGCCTTGTCCAGCGTGCTCTACACGCCACGTTGATGACCCTCCTCTCCCTGAGAGAAGAGCCAGCCTGAGCCGTGGAGTGGAGCAGAAAACCAGATTAGAGGATTACACAACGCAGAACCGGTCAAGTCGGTTTTTCCCATCGAGAGACAGAAGCTACAGTGACCTCCCTGGAGCTCTCAAGGTCATGTCTGGGTGCCTGGGCACGAAAAAAGCTAAAAAAAAGAAAAAAAAATCCAGGTTCTGGAACATTCTAGGACGTTCTAGAATGTTCCGGGATCCCTAGAATTTTTCCGAGGTGTTCTAGAATGTACCAGAACATCACCAAGTGAGTCTGGGGGGATTCTGGGATACGGGTCTGAGTAGAAGTTTCCCGGCTGGGTGTGACGGGTGTCCTGGTGCCGGCCTGGCCCTGCGGACATTGACGTGACATCCCGTGCCCACCGGGGCTGCGGAAACTTCCAGCACGTCGGCAGAGGGTCTCAGACCTCCCAGGACGCTCGCTGGGTTCTCTGGAACATACTGGAACATTCTACAACATTCCAAGACCCCAAAGACTACTCTCCAAGCGGTCCAGGGCATTCCTACTGAACATTCTAGAAAATTCTACGTCATCCGCCAGTATTCCGGAACACTCCAAGACCAGGCGCTCTAGAATACTCTAAGGCCCCGAGGACGTGCGCCGGGCTCTCTGGGACGTGTTCTAGAACGTTCCGGAACATTCCACAGAATTCCTCGCGATTCCAAGGACATTCCCTGGGCATTCTAGAACATTCTGGAATCCTGGAAACACCCACCAGGGGTTCTGGAAAATTCCAAGGCCCAAGAACGCACGACAGACTCTCCCAGAATTCCCTGGGAGCACTGACCGTTCCGGAACGTCCCTGGTGTCCACCAGGATGTTTGCACAACCTTCGGCCCGCCAACTCCTCCCCCAGCCCTGGCAATAAATAGACGCCGGGTCCCCGCCGGCTCAGACGACGACGAAGACGATGGTGATGAAGATGACGGTGACGAAGGCTCTCCTCCTCGCCCTCACGGTGGGCGTGGCCTGTGCGGACGTCGACCCCGCCCAGGTATCATAATTTGCATCATTAGTTCCCAGTATTAATTCTCGTCATGAATTCATATCATTTCTTCACATCATTACTTCGCATCACTAATTCGCATCACTACTTCGTGTTGTTTCTTCAGCCGTATCATTAATGCGCGTCATTTCTTCACCTCCCCAGCTCTCCGGGCCCTGGCGCACCTCCGCCATGGCCTCCAACAACCTGGAAATGATCCTGAAGGATGGGCCACTCCGGATGCTGTTCCGCGAGATGGAGTGCAACGAGGACTGCAACGCCCTGAACGTCTTCTTCTACGTCAAGTGAGGGGCGGGGCCAGGGGAGACAAGCCGAGGCCAAAGACAGCCAGGGGGGAGCAATCGAGCCCAGAGAGCGGGGAAGACAGGCGCCACCAAGCACAATCGATCCCAGAGAGAGAGAGAGAGAGCAGGCCAGGGCGACCAGCCGAGCCCAGAGAGAGAGAGAGCAGACAGGAGTAGTTGAGCCCAGAGTCAAAGAGCAAGCCAGGGGGGACCAGCCGAGCCCAGGGAGAGTGAGCAGACAGGAGTAGTTGAGCCCAGAGTCAGAGAACAGGTGGGCTAGAGGGGAGTAATGGAGCTGAGAGTGAGCAGACAGGACCAGCCGATCCCAGAGTCAAAGAGCAGGCCATCGTGGACCAGCCGAACCCAGAGAGAGAAAGAGTAGACAGGAGTAGTTGAGCCCAGAGTCAGAGAGCATGTGGGCTAGAGGGGAGTAATGGAGCTGAGAGCAGACAGGAGCAGCCGATCCCAGAGTCAAAGAGCAGGCCATGGTGGACCAGGCGAGCCCAGAGGGAGAGCAGACAGGAGTAGTTGAGCCCAGAGTCAGAGAGCATGTGGGCTAGAGGGAAGTAATGGAGCTGAGAAAGAGCAGACAGGAGTACTTGAGCCCAGAGTCAAAGAGCAAGCCAGGGGGCACCAGCCGAGCCCAGGGAGAGTGAGCAGACAGGAGTAGTTAAGCCCAGAGTCAGAGAGCATGTGGGCTAGAGGGGAGTAATGGAGCTGAGAGTGAGCAGACAGGACCAGCCGATCCCAGAGTCAAAGAGCAGGCCATGGTGGACCAGCCGAGCCCAGAGAGAGAAAGAGTAGACAGGAGCAGTTGAGCCCAGAGTCAGAGAACAGGTGGGCTAGAGGGGAGTAATGGAGCTGAGAGAGAGCAGACAGGACCAGCCGATCCCAGAGTCAAAGAGCAGGCCATGGTGGACCAGGCGAGCCCAGAGGGAGAGCAGACAGGAGCAGTTGAGCCCACAGCGAGCGGCCATGTTCCCGGTCTCTCCTTCAGGAAGAACGAGGTATGCACCCCGCACACGGTTGTGGCCCAGAAGAACGCAGACTGGCATCTACACCACTGACTGTGAGTACAGAGCATTTCGGAAAGTTCCAGACAATTCCAGATGACCCCAGGGAATGTCCGGTGTGTTCCAGAATGTTCGAGAATGTTCCCAGAAATGTTCCAGGATGTTGCAAATGTCCCAGAATGCTCCAGTTCCTCAATGTTCTAGAATGTTCCAGAATGCGCTAGAATGTCCCAGCATGCCCCGGCACATCCAGAACACCCACCTCTCTCCCTACAGTCGAGGGCCAGACCTCCTTCCAGTTCCAGGAATTGGATCCCACTAGCCTCATCGTCTTCATCAATAACATGGCATCCGGCGGCACCACCAGCCGCCTCAGCTTCCTCACTGGTGAGCCCCCCTCACACACACATGTACACTGCCGGTGCCCGCTAGGGATACGCACCACGACCCGAGAGTCTGAGCCCGACTGTATACGGGGAAAGGGGGGCTGCATGGCCAGGCATATACAGTCGGTGCCCACTGGATAAAGCGGGTGTATACAGTCAGTGCCCACTAGACATGGTGGGCATATACAGTCGGTGCCCACTAACGCTAGCATATACAGTTGGTGCTCGCTAGATGGGGTGAGCGTATACAGTCACTAAAGCGAGTGTATGCAGTAGGCGCACACTAAAGCGAGCGTACTCAGTCGGCGCCCACTCTTGCCACAGCCAAATTGAATTTCATAAACGATGACGCGCTGGACGACTACGCGAGGCTCACGGAGCAGAATGGGATCCCGCGGAAGTACATCCGGCGTGTGGCCGACACAGGTGAGGCCTTGGCGGCTTCCGGGCTGACTCGGCGCTGACTCGGCGCTGACTCAGCGCTGACTCGGCTTTCCTCTCTCTCCAACAGACACCTGTCCACCCTGAGGACGCCTCCCTTGGAGAAGGTGCCAGAACGTTCTAGACCATTCCAGAACCGCCCCTGATCGCCTCACCATCTCCTCCCACCTGCGAATGCGCTAGCATGCTCCGGACATTCTAGAACGTTCTGGATTGATCCAAGATGGTCTGGATCGTCCCAGAATTTCTAGAAAGCTCCGGAACATTCTAGAATCGGCCGTCCCCGGCTTTCTCTGCTTCCTGTTCATGGAATAAACTCATCCTAGGCACAGTCCCAGTCATTTATTTTAAACGATTTTTATTGTTCCGTCAAAAGACAGAGCGAGCTGGTGGAGGAACCCAGGGGCTACCTCCGGGTCTCCCTGCACTGTCAGTCACCGTTCACTGACAAGGGGGTGGGCTCTGTCATCTGGTGGCTGTCAATCAGCCATGAGTGACACTGGGGGGGTTCTCCCCGACTCCACTGGCAGCCAGTCACACTCCACCAGGATCCCAGGGCCACACCCGGGTCCCCATGGCCACATCCGGGTCTCCAGGGCAATATCCGGCTCCCCAGGGCTCCACTCATGTCCGCAGTGACACATCCAGGTCCCCAGGGGCACATCCTGGTCCCCAGGGCCACATCCGGGTCTAAGTGCTCCATCCAGGTCTCTGGGCTCCATCTGGGTCCCTAGGGCTCCATCCGGGTCTCTGGGCTCCATCCGGGACTCCTGGCTCCATCCGAGTCTCTGGGCTCCACACAGGTCTCTGGGCTCCATCGGGGTCTCTGGTCTCCATCTGTATCTCTGGGCTCCATCCGGGTCCCTAAGGAAACATCCGGGTCCCTAAGGCTCCATCCGGGTCTCTGTGCTCCTTCAGGGTCACTAAGGCTACATCCGGGTCCTTAAGGTTCCTTCCAAGTCCTTAAGGCTCCATCCGAGTCTCTGGGCTCCATCCAGGTCTCTGGACCACATCCGGGTCTCTGGGCTCCATCTGGGTTTCGGGGCTCCAACCATGTCCCTAAGGCTGCATCCAGTCTCTGGGCTCCATCCGAGTCTCTGGGCTCCATCCCAGTCTCTGGGCTCCACCCCGATCTCCAGGGCCACATCCAGGTCCCCAGGGTCACATCCGGGTCTCCAGGGCCACATCCGGTTCCCCAGGGCTCTATCCGGGTCTCCAGGGCCACATCCGGGTCCCCCAGGGCCACATCGTGGTGTCTAGGGCCACATCCGGGTCTCCATGGCCACATCCAGGTCTCCAGGGCTCCCTCCAGGGCCACATCTGCGTCCCAGGGCTCCACCCGCGTCCAGAGCTACATCCGGGTCCCCAGAGCCACATCCAGGTCTCCATGGCCACATTCAGGTCCCCAGGGCCACATTCGGTCTCCCAGGGCTCTACCCGGGTTTCCCAGGGCTACATACGGGTCCCCAGGGCCACATCTGGGTCCCCAGGGCCACACCCGGGTCTCCAGGGCCACACCAGGGTCCAGGGCCACATCCGGATTTCCAGGACTCCCTCCAGGGCCATATCTGGGTCCCAGGGCGCCACCCGGGTCTCTGGGCTCTCTCCAGGTCTCTGAGCTACATCTGGGTCCCTAAGGCTCCATCCTGGTCTCTGGGCTCCATCCTGGTCTCTGGGCTCCGTCCGAGTCTCTGGGCTCCATCTGGGTCACTAAGGCTCTATCCGCATCCCTAAGGCTCCATGCGGGTCTCTGGGCTCCATCCAGGTCCTTAAGGCTCCATCTGAGTCTATGGGCTCCATTCGAGTCTCTGGGCTCCATCCGGGTCTTTGGGCTCCATCCAGGTCCCTAAGGATCCATCCGGGACTCCTGGCTCCATCCGAGTCCCTGGGCTCCATACGGGTCTCTGGGCTCCATCCAGGTCTCTGGGCTCCATCCGTATCTCTGGGCTCCATCTGGGTCCCTAAGGCTCCATCCACATCTCTGGGCTCTATGCGAGTCTCTGGGCTCCATCCGATTCCCTAAGACTCCATCCAAGTCCTAAGGCTCCATCCGGGTCTCTGGGCTCCATCCAGGTCTCTGGGCTCCATCCAAGTCTCTGGGCTCCATCTGGGTTCCTAAGGCTCCATCCGGGTCCCTAAGGCTCCATCCAGTTCCCTAAGGCTCTTCCGAGTCTCTGGGCTCCATCTGGGTCCCTAAGGCTCCATCCGGGTCCATAAGGCTCGATCCGGGTCTCTGGGCTCCATCCGGGTCTCTGGGCTCCATCCGGGTCCCTAATGCTCCATCGGGGTCCCTAAGGCTCCATCCGGGTCTCTGGGTTCCATCCGAGTCCCTAAGATTCCATCTGGGTCCCTAAGGCTCCATCCAGACCCTAAGCCTCCATCCGGGTCTCTGGGCTCCATCCGGGTCTCTGGGCTCCCTCCAAGTCTCTGGGCTCCATCCGAGCCATAAGGCTCTATCTCACTCTCTGGACACCATCCGAGTCTCTGGACTCCATACATATCTCGGCTCCATCCGGGTCTCTGGGCTCCATCCAAGTCTCTGGGCTCCATCTGGATCTCTGGGCTCCATCCAGGTTCCTAAGGCTCCATCCAGGTCTCTGGGCTCCATCCGGATCCCTAAGACTCCATCGGGGTCCCTAAGGCTCCATCTGGGTCTCTGGGTTCCATCCGAGTCCCTAAGATTCCATCTGGGTCCCTAAGGCTCCATCCAGACCCTAAGCCTCCATCCGGGTCTCTGGGCTCCATCCGGGTCTCTGGGCTCCCTCCAAGTCTCTGGGCTCCATCCGAGCCATAAGGCTCTATCTCACTCTCTGGACACCATCCGAGTCTCTGGACTCCATACATATCTCGGCTCCATCCGGGTCTCTGGGCTCCATCCAAGTCTCTGGGCTCCATCTGGATCTCTGGGCTCCATCCAGGTTCCCAAGGCTCCATCCAGGTCTCTGGGCTCCATCCGGGTCTCTGGGCTCCATCCGGGTCTCTGGGCTCCATCCAAGTCTCTGGGCTCCATCTGGATCTCTGGGCTCCATCCAGGTTCCTAAGGCTCCATCCAGGTCTCTGGGCTCCATCCGGATCCCTAAGACTCCATCGGGGTCCCTAAGGCTCCATCTGGGTCTCTGGGCTCCATCCGGGTCTCTGGGCTCCATCCGGGTCTCTGGGCTCCATCAGGGTCCCTAAGGCTCCATCCGGGTCTCTGGGCTCCATCCTGGTCTCTGGGTTCCATCTGAGTCCCTAAGATTCCATCCGGGTCCCTAAGGCTCCATCCAGTCCCTAAGCCTCCATCCGGGTCTCTGGGCTCCATCCGGGTCTCTGGGCTCCATCCGAGCCATAAGGCTCTATCTCACTCTCTGGACACCATCCAAGTCTCTAGGCTCCATCCGGATCTCTGGGCTCCATCCGAGTCTCTGGGCTCCATCCGAGACTCTGGGCTCTATCCGGGTCTCTGGGCTCCATCCAAGTCTCTGGACTCCATCCGAGTCTCTGGGCTTCACCCAGGTTCCAGGGCCACATCTGGGTCTCCAGGGCCACATCCGGATGCTCAGGGCCACATCCAGGTCTCTAGGGTTCTCTCCATGGCCACATCCGGGTCTCCAGGGCACCATCCAGGTCTCCAGGGTCACTCTGGGTCTCCAGGGCCAAATACGGGATCCCAGGGCCACATCCGGGTCCCCAGAGTCACATGGGGCTCTCTAGGGCCACACCCGGGTCTCTAGGGCCACATCCGGGTCCCTAGGGCCACTTCCGTGCCTCCAGGTCCACGTCCGGGTCTCCAGAGCCACATCCGGGTCTCCATCGCTACATCCGGGTCTCGCAGGGCTCCATCCGGGTCCCCCAGGTCCACATCCCAAGTCCACATCCAGGTCTCCCAGGGCTCCATCCAGGTCCACATAAGGTCTCCAGGGCCACATCTGGTTCTCCCAGGGCCACATCCGGTTCCCAGGTCGACACCCGGGTCCCAGGGCCACATCCAGGTCCCTAGGGCCACATCCGGGTCTTCAGGGCCGCAACCGGCTCTCCAGGGACACATCTCGATCCCCCAGGGCCACATCCAGGTCTCCAGGGCTCACTCAAGGGCCACATCTTGGTCCCAGGGCTCCACCCAGGTCTCCAGGGCCACATCCGGGACTCCACGGCCACATCCGGGTCTCCAGGGCCACATCCTTGTCTCCAGGGCCACATCCAGGTCTCCCAGGGCTTCACCGGGTCCCCAGGTCACATCTGGGTCCCGAGGGCTACATCGGGGTCCCCAGGGCTCCTTTAGTGTCTCCAGGGCCACATCCGGGTCTCCTGGGCCACATCTGGATCTCAAGGGCTACATCGGGGTCTCCAGGGCCACATCCGGGTCTCCAGGGCCACATCCAGGTCTTCAGGGCTCCCTCCAGGGCCACTTCTGTGTCCCAAGGCTCCACCCGGTTCTCCAGGGGCACATCCGGGTCCCCAGGGCCACATCCAGGTCTCCCAGGGCTCCACTCGGTTCCCCAGGTCCACACCTGGGTCTCCAGTGCCCCATTGGGTCTTCAGGGCCACATCCAGGTCTCCAGGACCACATCCGGGTCCCCAGGGCCACATCCGGGTCTCCAGGGACACATCCGGGTCCCCAGGGCCACATCTGGGTCTCCCAGGGCTCCACCTGGGTCCCCCAGGGCCACATCCAGGTCTCCCAGGGCTCCACCTGGGTCCCCAGGGCCACATCCGCGTCCCCAGGGCCCCACCCAGGTTTCCAGGGCCACACCCGGGTCTCCAGGTCCACACCCTGGTCTCCAGTGCCCCATTGGGTCCTCAGGGTCACATCCAGGTCTCCAGGGCCATATCCGGGTACCCAGGGCCACATCCCAGTGTCCAGAGCCACATCCAGGTCTCCCAGGGTCACATCAGGGTGTCTAGCGCCACATCCAGATCTCCAGGGCTACATCCAGGTCTCCAGGGCCACATCCGGATCTCCAGGGCCACATCCAGGTCTCCAGGGCGACATCTGGGTCTCATGGGCCACATCCGGGTCTGCAGAGCCACTTCCGGGTCTCCAGGGCCAATTCTGGGTCTCTAGGTCCACATCCGGGTTTCTAGGGACACATCTGGGTCTCCAGAGCTCCATGCAGGGCCCCACCCCGGTCTCCAGGGCCACATTGTGGTATCCCAGGGCCACATCCGGGTCTCCAGGGCCACAACTGGATTTCAAGGGCCACACCCAGGTCTTCAGGGCCACATCCAGGTCCGCAGGACCACATCCGTGTGCCCAGGGCCACATCCTGGTGTCTAGGGCCACATCCGAGTCTCTAGGACCACATCCAGGTCCACAAGGCCAATTCCGGGTCTCCAGGGCCAATTCCGGGTC